TTGGAAATAAAATTAATGACTTGCCGATTTCCCTGAAATAATTCTATTCAAAGCAGTTCTTCCAGGGCAGTGAGCAAGTTCTAAAGGTTCAATTTTTGCACTTGTACTGAAGGTGAGGTGATGCTCAAATGTTCACATACATCTGTGAACAAAACAAAGCATCTGCTGACTTGTAGCTGAATAAAAATAAAATGAAAGTTAATAATGCTCTACAGAAAATAATGTATGACACGTAGTAAATAGGATTTTATTTTAGTTGTAGGATTGCACCGTTCAGTGCACACGAATTCAGCGTACAGCTTCTTATTTCAACTGTTCCTACTTGTAAAATCAAATGTCACTGACCTGGATGTCTGAGGAAGCTAAGAGCATGAACCGACTTGGCGCTTTAGTTTGAAAGTATGCTAGTTCGAGTCCCACTGTGAACATGGTTGTGTGTTCATTGTCTCTCGTGTATTATTGTCATGGAGGGTCTTGCATTCTGCTGACCCCCACATCAGAGGAGCTCGCAAGTGTGTTGATGTCTAGGGTATGGTTGAATATGCATCCCATCGGGATTTAAACTTTCATCTACAAATTCATGATATTTGCTAATAACGTAAGTTTTAATTTTAAAATGCTAACTTTTTTGTGAAGATTATTTGATTAAATATTATTATTTTTGAGATAAAAATAAATTTTCAATAATGTACAGTTGGTTCTAGTCATAGTGAACTTAAATCACTAGTCCCATTTCACTTACATTACAAATAATCATAACTATTCGGTTATAATGAACGTAGGAAGTACAATGTCTTGGAAATTAATTCCCTCCTCGAAAATAATATATCACTTCAGTGCCATAAATTCCAACGCTTAATGAATGAAAGAAAAAAAACGGCCAAAGGTTGTAATCAGAGATGTCTCCCCCATGGTGAAGGTAGTGAATCTGAAATGGGAACCTTACTGATAACCTATGCAACTTAGTTTCACTACGGATATAAAGGCTGTGTCCTGCATGGGCTACAACTGGTGGCAGCAACACGCAATTGCTTTCTTCAGTTTCAAGATTGGTGTTACTTAATATTCCATGGGGCAAAGCATATAAGTTCTACATAAGTGACAGAAAGAACGTGACTGACACAGCCTAGAGATATCCACCGTGCCATGCGGAAAAGCGATCAAATTCATTAGCTGCTTGCGCTATCCCGTTACTGAAAGCATCTCTTAGTAAAAGGGCCTTCGGAGAGTGGGATGGTGTTCCAAGAGCACAAGAAGCATTGAAGGGTGTACGTGATCTATTACGATTCTTTGACACAGGGGATAATGCAGAATTAAGTATGGAGAGAGCATGAACTCGGGAGAAAGTTTCAGAGAAATTACTAACAAAAAATGTTTGAAGCAAACAATTGAAAATAATTAATTTTTTAAGGGCAAATAAAGATATTGGAATTTTCAGTTTGTACTATTAATGTATTTTGCTGTATCTCTAAATTACTAACACCAATTGTTATGGAGTAATTCTATTTAATACTGACCTCATTGGATGTAGTGAACCAAAAATGTTAGTCCCCAGAAGTTGTTTGTAACCGAAAGTCAACTGTATATGACATTTGTTTAGAATTATTTTTTTAAAATCTGGATGTAGGCTCTAAACAACTTGCTAGTAGGGAAAACCCACTCTGCATTTATCTATATCATGAATCATTGATTTTAACTCCATAAAAAAGTATTTTATCAATTTAGGAAAAAATTCTCTCTTCATAAGTCTCTCTTGCAATTTTCTAAATTTCAGAGGTTTTAATGATTATTGGACTTTTATCGTACAAGTGCACAGTTGTCTATTTGAGAAAACAATTTACAGAACAAATTTGGCGTCATTAGAAAGTTTTGAAATAATAACTAATGCACTACCTATTCATTAGTGTGTTGTATTATTTATTGAAAAGGGCCATTAGATATGCTTTTGGAGTTCATTTACACAATCTCCAAAAAATCAAAAGACTTGCTTCAATATTCAAGAGACCTCTGGATTGGACAGATGGATTGAAGACTCATCCATTTTGGAAGAAATCCTATGAATAGTATAGGTGCCAGTGTTGTTTTCAGGCTGACAGACAGATGGTTTTAAAATGCACTTTTTCAGTACCCCCAAAAGACATTTATTGTCTTCACATAGTTTTTGCATCATTACAAAACATTATATTTATACTTTAATAAAAAAAATGCAAATTATATTCATTCAAAAAAAATGTCTGAAGGAGGTGGAGGGGTTCTTATTGCTGTATCCCCAGAAAACCGTATTGGATACATGTTCATTAAATAGTGACAAAGGTTTTTGTGTTTCTTACCAACACTTCCAATACAAATATTATATTTCTGAAAATTGTATACGTATTGTAAACGTGAATACACAATAATATGATTGGGGGGGGGATACAACAATATGCACACCTTACTAGTAATTTTAGAGTCATTCAGCAACTTTATATGTAAGTTCCAATTGAACTCCGCATTGAGTTGCTGTAGCGGAGGGATCCATCCTGTACCTTGAATATAATGTTGCTGAGTGACTAAAATGTATTAGTAACGTGTCTTTTTCTTTTCTTTCTTCATATTATTATGTATTGTATATTATATTGAGGTCTTCATGCCTTGTTTTTTATACACTAGCCTTATTGGTGGAATTAAAAGATTCTGAAACATTGTTTATACTTTGACCAATCCCGTGAACTACATCCTTGATCTCTGTTAATTTCACCTATTTCCCATTTTTGACATTCATAAGATGTATTTGCTTTAGTTTCTCTATTGTTATTTCCTCTAATTGTATTTCTTTGTCTGAGGCATGTTACTGTTTGGTTTGTGATTTTTATTATTTCTAGTGATTACCTGTGGGATGGCTTTCCTGTGACTAAATTATCTATTTCTTTACATTTCATTATTGCATTATAATCCCGAAGGGCAGGTGCAATGGTCTCCAGTTGTTCAAATTTTGTCCAATTTTAAAGGCTTAGTTGATGTTAAATTTTGTTTCTATTTACATGCATATGTCTTCACAAGCCATTGTTATGCAATAGCTCCATTATATCTTTTTCCATTGTGGTACCAATCTTCCACATACATCTCTGCATTTTTTTTGTCTTGTTCATGACAATTTTGGATCTTTATGTTGTTTATTCCCTTGGCAACCATCTCTTTTCTGGACTGGGATATTTTCCCTCTGTTAGTTTTCTTATTTCCTTTTTCTCTTTCTATCTCTTGCCACTAGGAGTCTATCATCTAGCTTCCAGACATGTTGTTTACATCTTTTTGATACAGTCTTAATGTCAAAATGCAATTACTATTTAACATCATCAGGAATTTCATCTAGCTTTCCCATCATTCCTTATTAAAATTTGTTTGTGTATCTAAATAGTTATATTTAATTATTGTTTTCAACAAACTTTTTTTCTTTAAAATTAGACTATTAAACATTTTTTATTACAACCTCTCATGAATAATTTACGAACATAATTTGTTCAGATAAATTTTCTATTATAAGTCAGAAGTACAGAACAAGTGACTTGGCTGTTTTATCAGAGAAGATAGATCTGGACAAAGGGCAATACCAGGGAGATGGTTTATTTTATTTTATGTCTTATTTTATGTGGTGAGACTCGAGCCATCAAGCCCGCTGTTCTGTCTGATCATGCAAATTTCATTATGCTCCTGTTACCATCTAGCAGAGAAAGAAGGTATCACTCAGGCAACAAAATAGGCAATTTGATTTTAGCTCAGATGCTGCTTTTAGGCAGAAGGATCTATTAGGTATATTAGATCTACAGCATGGGACCGTCAGCTTTACTTCCCCTCTGAAAGATGATGCACAAAGGATTTTTTCTCCCTTAAAAATCCAAGTCTTCAGTCGGGTTTGAACCCATGAATTTGGGTACTACAGCCCAATGTGCTAATTGAATAAGCTTAATTGATAATTGATAGCTAGTGGTAAAAGAAAAAATAAGTACAGTCAACTGCAGTTATAGTGAACACATAGTGCAGTTAATGGTTCACTATATTCGACGATGTCAAAATTAAACAGAATTTCTCCATAACAATTGATTTTATTAATAGAGATGCAACAAAATACATTAACAGCACAAACTGAAAATTTCAATATCTTTATTTGTCTTCAAAAACTCAGTTATATGTAATTGTTTGCTTTGTACTTTTTCCATTAGTAATTACATCAATAAATAGTAAAAGGACCTCGTGAGAGTAGGATGGTATTCCAAAAGTATGAGGCATTGAAGGGTGTCAAGTCTGCATTACAATACTAGACGCCGAGAACATTACAGAATCTCCAGAGAGCACAAACTGTAATGTTTTTGGCGTCTAGTATTGTAATGCAGACTTGACACCCTTCAATGCCTCATACTTCTGGAATACTATCCTACTCTCACGAGACCCTTTTACTGACCTCTTTTAACGCAAGATATGCTTTTGGTAGCGGGATGGCACAAGCAGCAAGTGAAACTGATCACTTTTCCGTGTGGCATGAGATATCGCCAGGCTTTGGCAGTCACATGCTTCCTGTCGCTTACATAGAACTCGATGCACTTTGTCCTGTGGAATATCAAGTAATACCAAGATTGAAACTGAAACATTCCGCATCGCCACCGCCAGTTGCAGCCCACACAGGACATAGCCTTTGTTTCCACAGTGAAATTGAGTGGCGTAGTCATTTGTCCCCATTCACCTCAGGGGAGCTGTTTCGATTATGACCTTTGGCTGACGACATTTCTTTTCAAGCTGCCTAGTAATGGAATTTATGGCACTGAAACAATCTATTCATTTCCAGGACATTGTATTTCCTACATTCACAATAGCTGAGGTATAGGTTCACTATAACTGAATCTTCTTATGCTTATTTGGAATGTAAGTGAAATGGATATAGTGAACTTGTCACTGGTCCAAGTTCATAATAACTACAATTCACTGCAGTTTTCATAGTAAAAGAATATTCTAAAAATATACAAATTAAAGAAAATAATTATTAACTAATTCAAAAGAATGCAGTGAATCAAACCAACATATTAATATTCAAATGTTGAATTTGGAAAATTACGAGAATATTAAATTACCTTGTTTCCAATTTTAATATACTTAATTATAATTTCCAATTTTAATACTTATTATTATTTTAATACTTCTAACTCTTTAAAAGTTAAATATGAGATCATGTTTAATTACAGTGTCGTAAATAACTACATATGCTACTAAATCAGTTAATTAAAAATTTATATGAAGCAATTTAACATTGTTCTTCTGTATTGAACACTAAAAATAATTATGTCACATACGAATTCAGTACATTATGTGGAGCAAAGCAAACCCAATATGAATATTGTATAACGTACAAATAAATTAACACAAAAACTAACTCCAGTATAAATGTATTTCTATTTCTTTAACATGCAAAATACAGCTTCAAAAAGATAACAAAATTATAACTACAGAAATATATAAATCCTTGACAAGTTTAAAACTTGTCATCTAATATACAAATCTACAATATAAGACAAACTACAATAAACTTACATGCATTATTTACAAAAATTATCTACAATAACTATGCAACAACAGTTTACACTACAATTATTAATTTCTTCCATTGGAAGTAACATTTTCAAGAGAATTATTTATGATGACAAAATAATATCAAGAAACAGAGAAATCAACTGCCTAATAAAATGAAACCTGAATTGCATGAAAGTTGACATCTGTACTCTCATGCTGCTCAAGTTCCATCCTATATTATCATTTTTTTTCAGGAAGACATTTCAGAACTGTGGGTTGAATAAGTCTCCAGACATCAGCCAACTGGAAGAAGATAATATAAATTAAATGAGATGCAACTACATTTACAAATAAAATTATATATTTAAGCCAGAAAAGGGACCAGATGTCATGCAAAAAGTAATGCAAAGGTGGTAACAAGAACGAAAAAAAGTAAAATATTTTAACAAGTTTTAATTAGAATATGTTATTTAAGACACGCAACCAAAAGAGAAATATTTAGTGTAGTAACCTTTTATAAATTATTAATAGTATTTCATGTTACCCTCTGAGAATAAGGAAAACCTTTCAATTTCATCCATCCTAACAGTAAAGAAGGTACCACAAAAAATAAGTTTACTCAATTCTACATTTGTTTGGAAGTGTACATACTATGATTGTGTTCTGAGAGAGATGGAAAAACTACAGGATACTCATCAGGAAAAACAATATTGAATTATCCAATATTACTTTTCATAACACAAAGATTCATGAAACAATAGTATGTAAAAACATTTCAATTTTGATAGAAGAAAATAGCTGTTGGCACAAATTTTGAAAACACCAACTATGTTTAACTTGAAAGCAATAAGTGTCAAATAATGCTTAATTCAAGGTTCTTCTAAATATGCAAACATTTTAAAATTTCTTCGAATTAAATTTTCAGATCTGTTTTCTATACTATTGTTTCAAAAGAATTTTTAATTATAGAATTGAGGGGGAAAAAATAAATAATAATCATAACAAAACCAACAACATAAGAAAATATTTATTCCTTAGTCCTCTAATAGCAGCAAATGGGTTTGGTTTTTTTTTTCTTCTTCTTGAAAACAATAAGAATTTATATTTGTTACAATACTAGGAGCATTCTGCAAGTTATGTACTTCGCTATCTTAAAGCGTCTCCATACACGTGGCATTGGTGAATCATGAGCAACTGCTCATCCCAAGTGTGGACGGGTTGTGTGCGATTCGACAAGCTCCGAACATTCGGTATTCGCCCTACCCACCGCATGTATGTCTTTAGGACACATCAAAGTGAGTGAACATTCGCCAAACACATCAGCTGTTCGGAATTGGGCGAGCAGTATCTTGCTGCTCGGTGAATGATGAATGTGTGGAGCAGCCTTTATACCATTGTTGGAAAGCTGCATATGTAAAGTGGATCATGTCTTGGCACGCAAAAACTGGTTTCAAATTAATCTGTTGTAAGTGCTTTATGAAAAGAAAGAAAAAAAAAAAAGTTCAGTGCCACCTTCCTTTTCACACTGTAATCTTGCAGGTACAATAAGTAAATATGTTTGATAGTTTATTAATGCTTTCAGAACGGACTGTATTGCAATGGCATTTCATAACATTTTTATTGCAGCTAACAACTACTGCTGTCTTTAATATGCTGTAAGTTCCATTATGAATGAAAAAGGATAATGACTTGAACGTTGAATTGAGTGCCTAATTATATCCACCTGATCTTGATACTATAATCAATGAGGAAGAGGGAAAAGATAATGATTTGCATAAGACATTCCATGATCTCAGAAAGTTGTTTCTTGGCATGCAGAAGACTAATTTGACAGGGGAAATAATGTTAATCAGCCACTTGCGATGCTGAAACTGAAAAGTGATCTCCGACTTTTGCCAATGTTCTAATGAGAAAAAGGTTGACAATTTACTCACAACTAAATAAATCATTCAAAATAAGCCCAATTCAAGAACTAATGCTCTTAAAAACTTTACTCCTGTTTAGTTATTTTATTTTTGTTGATTTGATTGTTCAAAGCAGCAGGTTATAAGCAGATCAGAAAAACATACTTTTATTTTAATGTAAGATGACTTGAGAGCACAGACTGTCAAGAGAGCATGTATATTGGGGTACAGATAAAGATTTGCTGTACAAATTGTAGCAAATTCTATTTCAAGACCCAACTTCCTCAAAATAAAACGGAATCTTGATTTTGGGATGACGTTTTTGCTGCGAGATCAAAAGATAAAATCTATGATAAAGAAATACATATTTCAAAGATATACGAGTGAACTAGGTCAAATGGATCAATCTAAAAGTATGTGATCAAAAAAATCAGAGATCAAAAAGGTAGTCGGTAAATTGGACTGTGGCTAATGCATGTTAAATGGATCAATTATGAATTGACAAGAGCAAATAGAGCTTGTTTCAACCCTCTCTTAAGAGGAACATGCTCTTGTGCTCCTAGGAACGAGTAGGTCACAAGAAGTTGCCCATCATCATCATCATCATCTACAGTAGAAAGTTTAACAGGTCAAAATAATTCTGAAAACATTATGCATTAAAAGACAATGATTTGGAGATTTTCATCATTGACCTGTTGAACCATCATTGTATTCACTTGACTACACCCCATTTTTTATCATATAAAAAATATTTTATATGATATGTATGTATTATGGTATTTTCCTAAGTTGATGATAGAAATAACACAATTCATTAAAAATTCATTATATGTTTGTTTTGGGCACATGATACTACTTTACAGGATTATTGTTATAGGAACTGATGTGCCACACTATTTCCTTCCTTGATTTGAGTTTAGTTTGCATTCACACCGTATTTTAAAATAATGTGACCACCTTGAATCTGTAACATCAAATTTTCAATGTCATGTTGTTTTTGATCACCTTATCTAAAAATCTGTATAGAGCAAGATGATAATAGAATATCATCTTCTAAACTAGGATCATCTGCTATTAATCGCAATATAAAAAACATTATTTCAAGTATACGATTGATTACTTGCTCTATCTTCCATCACAGAGATGTATGTAGTAATGTATTCATAATCATGTGAAAATTACAATATATGATTATTGTTCAACCCACCTACAATAAAATTTACTACAATTTACACTCTGTCAATCATTATAATAAACGTAACCATGATTGACAAAATGTTGTTATCTTTGTTTTGTTGAGAAATTACTAGTCAGATTTCAATACATATATTTCAAGTTGTACCTGTGGTCTCTCTGTTATTCCTGCAAATAAGAATAGATTCTTTTTCTGTTTCAACAAATTTCTTTCAGAGTTTGTTGTTACTGGATACTTAGTTTTGAACCTGTTTATAAGACTCATTGGTTTTGGAAATTTTTGTACTGAACTCATTTTTAGGCTCCCTGTTTTGTTTTGGATTTCACTGGCAAATGCTATATGCTACAATGAAGAACCTTCTTTCTATGAAGTTGAACTTTGCATCAAGGAGTTTAAGTGAAGAAGCGATGAATCATTAGATTTGTTCCATGTTTGGGGTGTGGAAGCATCTTCAAATAAGTCCAAAACTGGAGACCAAGACAATTTATCAAGGTCAATATTATTGATAAATGGGTACGTCAGCTTGTATGGTTCACATTCTTAACTTTTTCCTAAAGATCAGTTCCCCTTGGATATTATGAATGGTGACATAAGCATGCCAGCAAGGAGGATGAGATAATTTAGACTTGCTTGAAAACCCAGATAACTTTTACTCACGGAATTCATGCCACAGAAAAGAACCAAAACTAGTAAATTATTCTCTCACAATAATGGCTTTACATGGAAAGAAACTCTCAGGGACGTTGTTGGTGGCACTTAAGTCAAGCAAATAACAGGCTACTATCTATACAACTTAATCACATTCTGGTTCAGAAACTAAACTTTTGTGCAAGTGACCACTTCCCAACAAAGAAGCTGTAATGGGATATCTGTCAGTAAAGATGTTTCTTTCTATTCCCAATGTATAATATCACTTGATGAAAAATGAACCAAGTTGTAGAAATCAAGTTTTGTACTAAACTGAAAAAGTATGATGTGAGATTTTTCAATAAACTTCATATTCACGATCAGGTAGAAAACTTATGAAATGTCCTCTGTAATTAAGTTAATATACAAGTTGTGATTATATTGTACCATTTCTAAAGCAGCAATGTTTATTATACATCATTATGTAATATTTGTGCAAATTTGCAGTTCCTGTGTCCCCTTAATCGTTATTAACTACAGTACTGCATAAAACAATCAACTTCATTAACTCTTCCTCAATGTTTTGGAGGGATAAAAAAGCCAAACAAAAATAACCTTGAGCTTTCACAACAAATACATCAGTCATCCATTTTAAATGAATATTTATTTAGCAATACTTATTTTTGATATACATGTGAATGCTTAATTCTTTAGAAACTACATTCATTACAGATTCATTACTACATTATTGATACATAAGCAGCTAGCTTGAGATTCGTATAGACAATTCTTAATCCCAATATCCCATCTGAACTATCTCATCATTGTGGCTATGATGGATGAGTGATAAGACAAAGAGTCATTGGTGAATTGTTTAAGCAAAAAATAGTGGAATACAAGACAAAAAATGGATGCATCACTGTAAACCTACAAACTTTTTTTTTTAATACACAAATACCTTAGAGGGACTGGGGTTTCAAACCACACTAGGCAAAAAAAAAGTTATAGAGCTCATTAATTTACAAACTTTCCAAAAGTCAAATTGGAAGTTTAAGTGCAGTAATTTAGAATTTCACCAAATTATATAAAAGCATTATTTGAAAACTCTACCATAGGCAGTGAAGTCATTGATGTTATAGTTCTATTGCCTTGCCTGGTCCATCCATTGCATCACTCATATCAACAGTTCCAAGACCTTGATCTAACAGTGCATTAGAGTCCAACTTAAAATTCATTCTCTATCACAGATTTCACAAGACGAAGTTTTTATCTATGCTCGCCAAATTTCACATCTCTTTGCAAATTGCGATTTTACCCCATTAATGAACATTAAAGAGTTAGTGTTTCATTCTGAAGTCTTTTAAATTTCATCCTACTTCTGTAGTATAGATTAACACCAGTACCTCAGTGTGTCCTTGTGCTTGAACTGCAACTAATGTATTCAATACAGACGCAAGGATCTCCAAGTATGCATGTACTAACTGTGTCTCCACATGTAAACAATGCAAAGAAAAAGCATTTCGAAGCTCCACATTTGCAATAACTGCTTCTTGTTCCATCATTTTACTTTCTAACTGTTGTACAGACTCCGCCTGGAAAGCAATAAAATTCCATATCTTTACAATCTTCAAAACTCAAAATAAGAAATCATGGTATGTATTCTAAATAACAGGAAGATATCTAAAAACAAAAAGTAGTGGTGCTACAATATCACATACTTTCCCATTTTTTAGACAATAGTTATGCAGGCGTGGATCCACATGTAGGGAAATCCCCCCCCCCTACCCCCACCAACATGTTTCAGAAGCACTTACTTTTTAACTTGTCACAAAACTTTCAAGCAGAAATGTTTTTGGGTAATCATTAAAATAAATAAAATTGTATCGTGGTGTAGACGGCGACATTAAAAAAAAAAAAAAACAACTAATATTCGACATACATATGAGATATTTGACCAAAACAATTTTAATTTCCTCTCCCAAAATTTGTAATTTCTCTCCCGTAATGTTATTATATTCCACTTTCTAACCTACTAACGCTTCACTTCCCTATGTACCGATATAACACTACATTACATAAAATTACATTATTATGTTGAAAAATATTAAGAATAAATTATTAAAATATTTATTATCAAAAAATACATTGCATCGAGAAAGAAATCTTTAACTTCAATATTACCCCATTGCACTCGTTCGGTATGTTTGAGATGACATCTTGAAATGATTTCGCAGCTCATGTCCTGCAGGCAGTGTGCCTACAGGTCAGAGGACATCTCTGAGATGACATAAGAAAATGGAGCATTGACTTGGAAGGTTTGCATGCTTTGCACTTCAATCAGCTCTGTCATTGTTTCGCGGTCTTACGAGTAGACATGTCACATTTAATTCACCTGGCATTGTATTTTAAACAATACTGAACTCGTTCGTTATTATTTTTGCTTTAACTTTAAAATCAACTGTATATTCAAAAAATAACAAATTTTCTTTAATCTTTAAAATCACATTCCAAATTCTCATACTTTCGTAGTTAAATTTATTGATTGTACAATTTCCGAAATTAACCACTAAATGCAATGCTAGAAAACAATTATTTTATTTTTAATACAAAGGTCAATGTATACAGAAATTGATTTTTACATTCAAAACTTCTTTGAATTTTGTTTTGGATGTGAAACAGCTCAAAACATTCACGTGGATCAAGGCCGCTTGCCAGGACACGTTTGACAAGAGAATGACAGAAATAAGTGGGGCTAGCATCTTTTATCACATAGCGTTTGTATGTATTTCAACAGACCATCTATTTCAAATTCACGATACTCCCCCATTGTTGGATGGAGATCTTATTAAGGTGTCATCTCTGAGATGCCTTCCGATTGGGTCACGGAATGGACACTGTCATCTGAGAGATGCCCTCCAACCAGTAGGGTGAGCCACCTTCCTTAAAGCTCCAAGCTGATAGCCCTTGACAGCATGTCATCTTAAAGATGCCAATTGTTTCCAACCACAAAGGGTTAAAGGTGTAGAGCAGGTATGAAAAACTATTATCTTTATCACCATAGAAGTAAAAATGTATGTGAAAACAATTGATACTTTCAAAAACATTTACACAAAAACTGTGTGTGTTGAGAAAAAGATTGTATTATAAAAAAATATATAGTTGAAGTAATGAAGGTGAAGTCACTTGTGAAAGGCAAATATTTAATAAAACTTATTGATAATTATAACAACAATTATAATAATTAATATTATAATTAAGGGGGCCATCTATAAATTAAGTACACATATCTGAAGTCTTTTGAATACCTCCTCTCCCCCTTGTAACGCACCCCTGACACCTCCCTCCAATAATAACATAACGCTTGCAACCCCTCCCCCTTGGAAGTTAAAAGAGTGAAAATAAATTAGAGCATAGTAAAAACTATTTGTATTCATTTTAGTTGTTTTGTATTTTAAAATTTATGATACTTTAAGTTAGAATTAGTTGGTGATGCTGAAAGCACTTAACAATAAAATAAGAGGTAAGTTATGAGTGAAAGAAGGATGCATAGGCAAGAAAAAAATTTTTTACAAGCCTCGCAGAAGCAATCGTGAATGATGCATGGGGGAGAGTCTTCTGTGGCAATTTAAATGAATCCCAGAATAAACTGAATATACATTTTGAATATTTTCTTCGTAATCTTACCAAATCAAACTAGTGAAGCTGCATGTACTTTCTCACATTATTTCTAAATTTGCAATTTACGAAATTTTCATTACACAATTTACAAGAGTTCAACAAAAATAAGAACCATACAGTTTTTTTAAAGCATCCCTCCTATCTGTGGAAAAAATTTGAAGAAAAAGGTTTTTTTATTAATATATTGCCAAATAATGCGCAAACTACTCGTTTTTTTAAAAAGAAACTGTACATGACCTGTTTTAAATTCGTGTTTTTTTTTTGGAACAGAGTTTGTCCAAGGCAAAAATCTCTTTCTTCAATTTAGTAATTCTGAAAATTTTCGAATTCGGAGAGTTTGTCAAAAATGGAACTAACACCATATTTTTCACCATCACTTATTACATGTGAGAAAATTGAAAAGAAAAATTTGGGACACTTTTTGAGAAAGTAATTGTTAAATTTGTTTTTAACTTGCATATTTTACACAAAAAATACACCTATTTTCAAAAAATTGAACATTTGTCTTTAAGATACAGATCTCATTTATGAAAAAAATCTATCTTTAATATTATTGTTCTAGGAAGAAGCCCACAAAATTGAACTTTTGCATATGTCGAAAACTCTAGAATTTCAAGAACACGAGATTTGCACCATTATCTTGGGAGTTAATTTTAAGAAAATTCTGAAAATGTTTTAGAGACATCTAGTAAAGTAATCTCAAAAATTAAACATCAGGGTGAAACTCACAAAGCCTTGAATTCGTTCACATCAATCTAGGAATATTAATTTTAGAGAATATCTGGTGAACAGTACAGGTGCTAGCTATGAACACGGATGGACAGACATGATTACATAACTTTATCTATTTTTACATTAAAGGGGATTTTGATCCAGGCAGGGTACATGCGCTAGGTGCATAATGTTCTCATCCAACATGGATGAAAGGGGCTTTCACTTTTAACTAATAACCTTTCACAGGCCACAACAAATGGCATCGCAGGCTCCCAGTTGGACAACTCTGATATATAGCAACAGGGTTTATCCATTTTTTGTTACCAGGGCCCAGCAATAAGTTTTACTGCCGAAAATTCGCCGTTTTCCGGCGCATTATTACATAACTTTATCTTCATACGAAGTGCGAGAAAGTAAAAACTTGATGCTAATCATTTTCATTTATCATAACAATTTACATCTAATAACTTTAATTTCTTTATGTTTAAAAAATAATTAGTGAATATTTTAATGCTTTAGTATAACAAAAAATATTTCAGCTAATATTGAACAATTCTTTTAAAACAAAGTCAATGTTATGTAACTAAACTAATAAGCATAACTAATAAGCATTAATGTAAACTAATAAGCATAAGCCATGTATGATAAGTCAGGATATGTACATAATCATATAATGATCAATACAGTTATTAGATAACCTGCTACTGCCATGTAATGCAGCGCAATGCTGCCTCAGAACCCCTGCCCCTCTTTAGGGTTAAGAAATTTATGGATGATCCCTTAATTAAATGAGAAATTTTTACAAAAATTAACTTTTGCATTTTTTGAACTTAAACATAATCACATTATTAAGCAAACATGGCTCAGGAAAGAGTTTAAAGCCATTTTTGAGAAAATTTTAAAAATGAGGTTGGTGCTTAATTTATAGTATCCCCCAAAAATACAAATTTTTTTTGTTTTTTGGGGGTGGGGAGGGGGGTAATCCTCAAACATGTTTAATTGTTGTCGAAGATACTGTATTATAACAGGAATAATACTGCAAAAGCTATCCAAGCAATTAAAGAAGAAAAAATATCAATAACATTTTTGTTATAATGATGTGTCTATCTCTTAATTCTGCAAAAAGTATCATTTTGAAACATGAGCATTTTTTCTATGAAACTAAAGCATTTATTTTACAATATATTTATTTTGCAATCACTAATACTTGTCACTTCATTAAATTTAAATAATCATATGCTTTTTCTGCACAAGTTAAAAAGTAAATAAATAAACAAAATACAACAAAAGCTTTCAAAGTAATTACTCACATCAGTATTTCTGACAACTCCTTGCATTTGTCTTTTCTTCAGCATTAACATCTTTGATAAAGCTTTTGTATGATCCTGTTGAACACCTTTTTCATGTCTGTCACAAAGTTCACGATACGCAACTAAAATATCAAGAAGGAGATTCAATTTTTCACATACTTCCTCTTCTTCCCGTGCTGCTTGCTGCAAAGCTTTGCTGGATAGGAGGCCAAACTCTCTAGATTTGAAAGAGACAAAGAAAAAAACATATTTTATCAACAAATGTTACATGAAAGAACATAAAAACAAAAATGGTTGCAACATCATAAAAATATATATTTTGATCAACATCGAAAAGAAAGTAAATTACTTTGATATGATATGGAAGCCTTTCTTCATTTCTGCCCAAACTTTGTTTCCACCAGTGTTCCATAGTGAAGAACCATATGGTTCACAGGCAAGAGTTGTTAGCTGTGAGCCAAGATCTGCCATGTACGCGGCATAGCTTAAATTAAAATAAATCAAAAAAAATTGTTGATGATTTCTTAAACAGGTATGATAAATAAAATTTCTTCTAGATCTAATTAAAAAGCATCAATGATATTAGAACAATATTTTCTTACTTCACTGATAATAGTACTTTATTTTCAATATGATTTTAGTACTCTTCATAAACCCTCAAATATGAAAGACATTAAGAGGGTTATAGATGAAAAATTATCAATGTCCACTTGTGATAAAATTTTAGATTTTGACATTATGCTATTCTAGGGATCATATACCACATTCTAGCACTTCAAAACACAAAGAAAAAATCACAGTCTACAAAAAATTGTGAATGAAAAGAATTTTTAGCACTAGTAGCACTTAAAACTGAATTCAATTCCTGTGAAATGCTTGAGAGTGGACTCTGAATGTTTTTTTCTGCTGTATCATTCATATTCTTTTTTGTTATCATACACCTATTTGTATGTATAATTTCAACCCATTTCATTGATTCAATCTTACGGAAATTGAATAGATAAATTTCTCAAGGATTCTTCCTAAAGAATTCAAATTCTTCTTCTTAAAATCCTTAAAAAGGAGACTACTAACCCGTGCGACCCCTCTGCCAGAAGATCCACAATTTGTTTCAGCCGAGATACTCCACTCAAAATAATTCGTATCTGTTCACGACTGTTAGCAAATTCAGTGACAGTTTCTGGAGGAACCAGTTCCTAAATTTCATAAGATAATTTTTAATAAATTGTCAAAGAGGAAAGCTTATTTATACAACATCCTTGCAATATTTCTAAGACACATAATTACTTTATAAATGCATTTGAAATTAGTTCAATCGAAAAGTATTACACTGTCTTTCCCATAATAATTTAAAATCTAAATATAATTAAATTTCTTCAGTTTCGTTTAAAAGAGAATGATAAATTTGTAATAAATTGAGTACAATATTATTGATAATTCTCAAAATAGCAATGCAGCTTTTGACTGACACAAGATTTCTAGCAAAGAATTAGTTTTAGACAATGTGACCTAAGCTATCTGTCTCAAAGAAACATTACAAAATTCCTATCTAAAACTAATTAAAATCTGATTATATTACAATAGGAAATTACTTGCCTTGGCTTTTTCAGCTAATTCAGAGGTGGTAAATTCATCTGGAATTCTTCGAAAAACTTCTCTTATTTTATGTTGAACATCTGGTCCAGAGTATGTCAAAAAAAAATTTAATATTGGATCACTAACAAGAGCAGGATGCCGTGCTACCAATGTTAACCACCGCCGCAGAGACTTCCTACGTTCTTCTATAAAATGAGATCCTCCTGAACAAATTGATAAAAAAAAAAAATCATACCAGTTTTAAAAAAATTATTTACAAAATAAACAACAACAACAAAACTGGAACAGTGCAACTCTACAACCAGGTCTTAATTACAATTTAATTTGTAGTGTATTCATTGCTTTTTTCAATTTACACTGAATCTACCAAAAAAACACTATTTGTCTACCTTCAAACACTTCAGGTGCGTATCCACAGGGGGGGGGGGGGGATGAGGGAAATCATCCCCCCCCACACACACACACACAAAAATTCAGTCTCTATTAATTTTAATTTCTCGTGAAACTTTTAAATAAGAAGTGGTGACAAAACAGCACGTACTTTCTCACCCGTATTTTCACGCAAAAAGTACTCAAATTTTCGAAAAATTGTACATGACCTTATTTCAAAATCTATCTTTAAGGAAAAAATCCCTATCTTCAATATTTTGCTTGTACGACGACTCAGAGAAAATTTTCAACTTTTGCAATTTTCCAAAAACCATGTTTTTCAACGAACATGAGACCTGCATTTTTTTTCTTTTTGAAAAATGTTCCAGGACATTCATGTTAAGTACCTCCCAAAATTGAAATATCGGTTTCAAATTCCAGGGGTAGTACCATCAGTCCGATCGATTTGGGAATATCAGTTTTGGAGAAAATCGGTTGATCGATTTAGCCGCTAGCGTTGTTCACAGACTAACAGAAGTTTTTGCCGTCATTCGGTTTGAAGGTCTCACAAAACATTCTTGCTACGCCAAGTGTTGAGAGATTTTTTCTAAATTTAGGGACGGTATTTATCCTTTTTTTTCGTTACCAGGGCCTGCAATAAGTTTTTCTGCCGAAAATTTGCCGCATTTCGCGTAGCATCACATAACCTTCTCTCTACTTCCTAAAAATATTTTCGGATAATCATCAAAACGAATAAAATCGTATCGCGCCTCTCCTGTGAATGTGCCCATATCGATTGGATCCTAGATGACTGGAAAACCGTGGCTTGGTCAGATACGTCCTAGTTTCAGCTGGTAAGAGCTGACGGTACGATTTGAGTGTTGTGTAGACCCCACAAAGCCACGGGCCCAAGTTGTCGAGGCACTGAAAGCTGGTGATGGCTCCATAATAGTGTGGGCTCTTTTTACGTGGAATGGACGGGGTCCTCTGGTACAACTGAGCCATTCATTGACTGGAAATGGTTATATTCAGCAACATGGAGACCATTTCCTGCCATTCATGGACTTTATTCCCAAAGAACGATGGAATTTTTATGGATGACACTGTGCCGTGTCACCGGGCCACAATTGTTCGCGATTGGTACAAAGAACATTCTGGAAAATTCGAGCCACCCAGATCACCTGTCATGAATCCGGTCTAAATTTACGGAACAGAATCGAGAGGTAGGTTTGTGCACAAAATCCTGCGCCGGCAACACTTTCGCAATTACGGACGGCTATAGAGGCAAGCAGGGCGCATTATTTCTGCAGAGGACTTGATTCCATGCCACGTCGAGTTGCTGCATTTTGCCGGGCAAAAGGCCAGACACGATAATTGGTGGTACCCCATGACAGTCATCTCAACATACAGGATAATTTTATCACTTACTGATACTATTTCCCCCCTTGGATGCTTGTATTATATTTAGCAGCATGATTAATTGTGTAATATCGCTGCAAACATCGCTGGATTAAGCATGAAGCAGCCGCTCCATCGCCCTCCTGCACATTTACTAAAAATGCAAGCACCCCCCTACCCTCTCACACAAAAGTCAGAGACAGAAAAGCATAAAAAGGAAGTGAAAAAGGTGATCAAATGGCGTCTAGTCTCGAAAACGCTTCACAAGACTGAGGACCCACGAAAACCCTTGCATCGAGAACGAGCTCGTGAAAGGCGACTCAATATTCTCTTCGCCAGAAATCCTTGTCGAATACAGTTTTACTGAAAGAAACATTTTTATGTGCGCTATTGTTCGGGTTCTATCTTCTAAATGTCAACTGGTTCGCGTTTTTATATTATGAGTGTCCCCAAACGACCTGCAAGGCCAACTCCGGCTCTGACTGCAAATTAAAGTTCGTCACGTGATAAAGCATTTTTTTGCGAACTCAGCATTTGGTCTGCCACAATCTGTAAAAATATACTATATTTCTTATCCCGCTTTGAAAATTGTGGGTGTTGGCTACGGTCTCCGAAATACTCACGACAACTTATCGGGATAAACTGTCTGACTGACTGTGACGGAGGTTATCGCGAGCCGCACAACTCTCGGACCTTGGTGTCCTCTCGTGCGATACGCGGCTCCACGCTCCCGATTCGCCTGCTGGAGCAGCCCTGCAGCATTATGCAGTGAAACTAAAGCGCCGACGCTAGAGAAAGTGAGGGCGGGCTCTCCTGTCTTTTTGGCCACGTGTTTTGTAGAATTTCTTTTCTTTAGTTTTGTATGCGAATGTCATTTTGATGAAGCACATAGTTATGGAGATAAAAGGAAAAATACTGAATGAAGTGGGATTTTTGTTTCTTTCTTTCCAATTCTCTTGGAGTTGCGGACATTTCTCGAGGGAACGAACCTCATATCCGAATTCAACATCCCATAAACAGAACTGGAGAGGAGAGGAGAGGAGAGAGAGAGAGAGAGGAGAGAGAGAGGAGAGAGAGGAGAGAGGGGGGAGAGAGGGGAGAGAGGGGGGAGAGAGAGAGGGGAGAGAGAGGAGAGAGAGGGGAGAGAGAGGGGAGAGAGAGAGAGGGGAGAGAGGGGAGAGAGAGAGAGAGAAGGAAAAAAAACACTTTCCTAAATTGGGCACTTTTGAGCCCTAGGTGACTGGACTTGGATACAAATGATTTTTTTTCTACAAGAAATTATATTCTATCTTAAAGTACTTATTATTATAATACAATATTGCATTTACTTCATCAAAACAATACGGAGAGACCAAGGCAATGTCATCTTTTTTATTTCCATTTTCCACCAAAAACACACACACACACACACACACACACACACACACGCGCGCGCGCGCGCGCGCGCGCGCACGCGCACGCACACACACTCTTTTATTGAAATAATCAACTATCTACAGAATGAAATGCCAAAAAGTACAACTGTCTTTTACCTTACACATATCACATAATGTTACAAAATTTAAATGCAAGAAGTATTTAAATAGGAAGGGCAAAATAATGATACGTTCAAAGACAATGCAATAAATAAAGAAATATGGTGGATGGTTGTAATTAGGATTTGTTGACAAAAGTCTATCCAGATTTTTCTTGAATAAAGTTATTGTCCTACTAACAACATAACCCTCAGATACAAAATTGCACAACTTTGCATCCCTGATGCATGGATAGAAAGCATACACTTTGACCAGCATAGCTAGTTTGTAATTTCTTATCATGACTTCACACTAATCAATTCAAGTTGAATAGCTCTTCTTGACAGTGCCTTGTAGTCTATAAAGAATCTTATAAGATTCAACAATGTCACTTCATTGTATCTCTGCTCCAGAGTGGACAAATTTTGTCCTCGAAACATTCATGGTCATCTGGTCAACTTCTCTAGGTATTTTAGTCACTTGTCTCTACACCTTTTTAAAATGCTTATCTTGGTACAAGGTCAGTCAGTCAACTCCAGCATGCTCCACGATTTGCATTTTATAAATCTCAAACAACTTTTTGAGGGTTTCAATGATGAAAAGAATTTCAGAAACCCAGTACACAGCAGTCTGAGCTCCATTTAGGACTGCTGGAACCTAACTTCTTCACCTAAGATTTTCTGTGATCAAGTCTCAAAGATCCATGTGTTGGGATGCCTTTTGCAAAGGAAGTCATTTGATTTGATATTATCGTCTTGAGTTTTTCTAACCAATTTGTAAATGTATTGCTGTATGACAAAGGTCCGACCAATTTTCAACTCTACTGACATGTTATATTTCTATAGTAAGGGGTCAGGTTTCTAAATAATTTGGTACTGTTATGATTTGTAGCTCAATTTTAGACATGAATATTCAGTTAATTCAGAAATTGAAATAAAGTATAGATTGATTTATTGATTAATGTGCACGTCAACTGCTATGGTCATTAGTTCAATAAGGGCACTAAATGTTTTATTCCCAGAGGTGGGAGTGTTCCCCCTGCTGGAAGGTGAGATCCCGCACCAGCCTACACATCAGCTTACAGGAGACTTCTCCCTCCAACAGGGCACCAGCCAGGACAAGCTCTAAGCTCCTGACTGGCCTCCTGACATGTGCGGTAATGTAGCACTGAGTAGTAAGTGTATGTAAAGGGAGAGGATAGGAAAGGAAAAAGAAGTGAAGATCACAAACAGTCCATTACCCCTTTGTTATGGTACTGTTCCAGTATTCACCTGGTATTGATTAGAGAAATCGGAGAAAACTGATCCGAGCAGCAAGCTGCTGGAATTTTCCTCCAGACAGTGGCTGAATTTGACCTAACTATACAACGAGTGCTAAAAATCCACTTCGTCCATTAGGACTCAAACCCTAATGCGTCACAATCACAGTTGCTGTAGAGACCAATGCTCCCTTTGAGCAAAATCAGTCAGTCAATTAGACATAATTATCAAAATGAATTAGATTTGATTTGATGCAGCACAAAACATGGATTTGAAAAATTCAGAATTTATTGCACAAAAGGTTGTATAAAATTATATAAGGTAAGTTAACTTGCTGGGGGGGGGCGGGGGGGGGGGGGGCAGCAGCATCTGTTCTTTTGCACAATACCAATATTTAAATTCAAAATGTTTCTTAAATTCTAGAAGCACTTATTAGCTTTATATCTTATACCTTTTTACCTTCCTTCCACTGTCCCTGCCTCCCATCGTTTGTGGGATAAAAAATAATGAGTTCCAAGCATCGTCATTAGTGTCAAATAGAATATCTTATATTATACAGCTGGATATTTTAATTGATAAAAAAATACTTAAATTTATAAACTTAATAAATTTTCCTCCTTTTTTGCACTTTCACATGGCAAATTATCTTTACTCTATCTGTCCTATTAAATACACTAGTTTGCAATGATTATGTTGTCATACTTCATACAAAATAAAAATGTCAAATTCACTCTTTAGACTGTTCTGAGAATGATTTGGGATGACAATTATACCATGGTAATAATAAGTTCTGGTCTTCCATCTTCTCTATGAAAACAAAATTTTGATGCTGAAGGTACTTTGTGACAAAGATATAATGGTTGAATCTCACAAATATAAATAATATCAATCGTACTCTTTGGATCTTACAACTCCACACTGCTTCCTCCTAACATTGTTTTAGTAAATGGAATTTGATTCAAAGTGCTGAACACATGACACGTTATTTTGGCAAACTTAAGAAATACATATATTGTTAATGGAATATTAACATGAAAATTACACTTTACAGCCTTCTAAAAGCATGCAGAATAATACTGTGAACCAACAATATGATTTTTTATTTCTTTTATATCAATTAGTGAATATATATTCAATAATAGAATCACTGTTCCCAAAGAAGTTCCTCCAATAGAACATCACTACCTCTAGATTTCTGGTTTCACCTTCTGTTACTACACAACTTGGCTACCACCAAAAACAAATTCAGTAATAACATATTTTTGAAGTAAAATACCTTTTCCCCATGAACGATTCTCAAAAAATTAAAGAAGAAATTATTTTTCATACTATATACCTACTATTTAGTTCAAAAAATGTTATGAAGTATTCAAAAACAAAGCACCCTATCCCTTTGTAATAGTTTTAGTACTGATCTGTGAACTGAAAACAGAATTTATGATATTGTACTTTTACTATTTTATAAATCAAGTTCAAAAAAATTTAAGAATGCCCATCAAATTGTGCAACTTGCCAAGTTTTAATTCAATCAAAACTTCTCCTTATTAAAGCAATTTTAATAAATAATCCACAATCATCCACACTAAGGTCACAGGTAAAAAGAACCTATTAAAAAGTAAACTAAACATTAATCTGGGGATATCTTTCTACAAACAACAATGTGTTTTAAAATGGAAAATTGTTTAAGTGATAAAAATGTCAAAAATTAGTAAAATTGGTGACTGTCGATGAATGTTCTCCTCCCACTATTTTATGAAAATTTCATTGTCATTCTGTAAACTCATCCAGTTGTTTTATCTCATAATTCAAACCTTTGTTTTCTCTTTCTGCAGAAGTTTTACAAGTTATTCATGCATTATTATTACACTATTCTTTTCCAATAAATTAAATGAATTTAGACATTAGTTAATCAGTAGGGTGAAAACATATGCATTTCAAAATTTCAAAAATTAAATGCATTACACTTCACAAAGACACTGAAACTATTACTGGCCATGAGAGACACATTCAAATGCAAAACAGTTAAGGGAGTTTGAGAACATAATCAATTTTCTGCAACCCCAAGATTGTATTGTTTAGTTTGAGCAACAGGAACAGAATAAAAACTTGGTTTCCTAAACTTCCTAAAATTGCTTTCCAGTCCCCTAGAAGATTGCAGATCCCAGTTTGAGAACCTATTACTGAAACTCAAGTGCTATACACACAAACATTAAATGCCAAGTTGCTAAACAGCACAATGTAGGAAATTTTAAAATGAAAAAAATTAACTTAAATTTAGTATTAAAGAATTTAAATTACGTTCTACTATTCACTATAATGAATTATTGTGTAAGTTTAAGTTTAACCCATCATTTTTGACAATTTACTTCTAGTTCTAAGATAATGTACATTCATAGGTTTTAAAGTTCTATATTCTGTGTTTTGTTAATTTTCATGCAATTAATACTGATTATCACAATCTACACTATTTTAATGCTACGTATATAATGATTTTGCATTTAATTAATGCTCAAATATACCTATATTGTCATCAATAATAAGAGAATTAAACTATTGATAGAAATAAAAATGATTAGGAAGCAAATAATATATAAGATTCTTACCTCCAACTATCTTCTTCGGAGGCAATTTTGGAATTAGTCGATATGGAAAACGCCCCAACAATAATTCATGCAGAGCCAGAAAGTCATTATATCGTCTCTTCACTAATGAATTAAACCTCTGCCAAACACATCAAGCATTTCTGGTCATGCTAAGCAAATTTACTTCAAAGCACAAGCACAACACTCAAAATTAAATAATGAAAATAACAATGACTCACTGAGAACAGTAGTCTAATACAGAAGAATTTTAACACTTTTAACACTGATCATAAGAAAATCTAAACATTTCATTATTCATGGCACTCCTCCCACTATGCACTGTTTTCTCAATACAAAATTGATTTGATGTAAGAGTGTATTATGTAAGAATATAAATAATAAAACAAACAAATTTAAAAATTGAATAACCACATTAGATGTAGGCAAAGGAGGAAGATGGTCAGAATCTAGTGAATGGCAGTAGTTTCAAACTACTTAGCCTGCATTTATAGGCAACGTTTTTCTTTTTTTGTTTGTTTTTTACACCATAATGAACAAAATTTAGCTTTTTATATTAATTTCTACTTTAAAGTACCTTCAAAGAAAGGTCAAGTTTGCAATAGATTGTTAAAATAAAAGCATAAAACTAATAAGTTATTTTCATTCATTTATAGACAAAATAAAAATGCCCTGTCAAAATACAATTGACAGTCAGAACACAGCAGAAGCATGCTTTAAAAAATCTAAAAGAAGAGAACAAGTGAGTTAGCATATCGTACAGTGCACATTCATTTTCTCAGTGATGTTAAAAATGAGAGTGAGCATCACAAAAGGATAATTATGAGTGAGAGGGAAAATGCATTATCCATTACTTAAAATTTCATACGTTTCTGCTACATTATAGTTTAAATATTACGGCAGTGCACTCAGTATATAACTACTACCACAATGCTTATAAGCATTTATTCATCACAAATAACAATATGAAATCTAGAGCTGTCAAATGTCTTCAACAGGGTCCGATGATCTGTATTGTGCTGTATACAAAGCAATTAGTATTAAAAATTGTATCAATAACACAAATAATTAGAACAATTATTTTTTTTAAATTGTTGTTGTTTTTTTACCTTACTAAACACTTGATATTCAACATGTTTTAAAATTATTCCTTTCTTTTCTGGCAAGATGTCCACTTCTATGGTATCTAACAGGCATATTTCTGAATATCGAAGACTAAGCTGTGAGGGGCTCAAATTATGTTTCAATTGTAGCATGAATTGTTTCACTTCTTCCAAATCCCCCAACTGTGGTTTAGGAAGCTCTGCAAACATAAATAATGATATTAATACTTAATATAACCACTGAATAATAATAATAATAATAATAATAATAATAATAATAATAATAATAATAATTGAATGGGTAATTACTTTAAAAAACTGACCATATCTGGTATTGTTGGAAATTAAAATTGTGCTATGACCATTAAAACAAAAAAATACATAATTTTAAAGTAGTTTTCACACAACTTATATTTATTGTTTCTGGTATATAGTACACCTTCATTACACTGCAATACGTGAATGTTTATAAGACCTCTAATCCCCAACCTATAGAAATTTTCAGAAATGAATCCAGCATATCAACATTATTTTGGTCAAGGATTGTTAAAGACTAATTTACTGATCATGTTAATGGAAGAAATCAAGAAATATATTATGAATTTATATGCCTCCTAGAGGGCACTTAACTTGTAACTTCAAACAATAAACTTCAAAGTGCACTAAAGAATTATTAAAATTATTAAAAAATTAAGAGAAAAAAAAAATCAAAAATTCTGCTTTTGTTCATGTCAGACATGTCATGTCATTCAAACTCAAAGGGTAACACAAGTCAAATAAGCAAGGAGCAAGTTTATATGGAAGTAGAGGGTAGAAAAGAACAATTTTTAATACAATAGGACTTTTTTCAAAAAGAAAAAGAACAAGAACTATGGTAAACTAAAGACTTCTCATCCCAGTATTTGATATCTCAACTATCATTTTCCCTACTTCGAGTAAAACCTTGTTACTTTCCTTTTTATTTGTGTATGCATTAATGTATGAGAAAGTTCAACAAAACAAATGTTTAAATGTAATGTAAATAAACCTATTTCTCTTGTTCTCCAATTTTTTACTGTTGAGCACATCAAGAAAGTCAGTGAGAGACTGAAAGATTCCAGAAATCAATCCAGCAACAATGTTAGTGAATTGCTGAGAATAGGATACTAGTTTGTAACAAACATTTTTTTGGTAATATTTTTTTTTTTTTTTTAGTTTCTCTATAAAGGTCTTTGAACATTTGTGAAATTTAATTTTCAAAAAGCTGTGAAATTATTAAAACTTCTGTTACATAGTTACATTGGCTGAGCTGCAATGTTATTCATTCAGTGTCACCTGCAGCCAAGGCTGTGACTTTGACATTCTTGCCTTGGATTTAGGTAACAGAAATTCTTTCTTTGAATATCCATGCTTCCCTGCCCCCTCCTAACAGCATTTTCTTCACCTTCATTTGAAGATGTAAGTAACTAACAAAAAGTTCTTAACTCAGTTAATTTGAAGGATAAATTTTGCTCATTCTCTTGTAGCTATAATTGCTATGTTGATTGGTTTAAATTATAAAGTACTATACAGTATTTTAGACAATACAGAAGAAACGAAATACTATAAGATTCTCTTCCTTAGGCAAAATGCTTACATTATTATTAAATATGATTAATAAATATTTTAACATCTGTAGATGCTTACCTTGACCAGAAAAGTTTTCTAAAAGCTTGGCACTGGGTTCTTTACCCTGTTGGCACCATGCAACAAGTGCCAAGGCTTTATATAAACTATGTCTGGATAGCGAACACTGCTTTGGTTCAACAGCCAAGTCCCAAATCTGAAAATTGAGCATTTCTTTATTAATCAATAATAAAAATATACAAATCGTGAATTTTCATTTGGATATCTAAATATTTGATTACTGATATCAATTGAAGGATGATACCTACCAAACTCAAAGTATGTGTAGGTAGTTCTGATTGTAGTAATAACTTATAGAAAACTTCTTTGCTCACATAATCTGAATATGAACACATATCATATATCTCCCTGTATACGGCCGGTACGGAACCTTCAAAAAATTTTAATTTCAGAACATCTTATAACACTAAATAACTCACAATTATCGGTTTAAAACTAATTTACTTACCCACTGCTAGATCGGTTGCCATATTACACAAATTTCTCTAGTGTACGTAACTGTACCTCGGCCAGTTTCAAGTCGTATAAAGTATTTATATCCAAAGAATGGTTATTCGGAACTTCGACGAGTCCACATCTATAATTCAAATCCGTATATCACAAGTGACGAAGACAGACACTGCATTAATCTAATTAATATTTTCAGCAAATGAAACTCGAGATGAGCGAAAGGAAAAACCTGCCATTCTCTTCACATTGGCGGTCACAAGTCTCGTTTCTTTCCTTTTCAAAACGTGTAAATACCATTTGACACAAACTAGAAGGAAGTAGGAACATTTGATTCAAGAAAATGTTTGGGTTATGTCACGAAGGACACAAGCAACGAAATGCTGTTATTCCATGCTGACACACTTCCCCGCACTTCCAAACGTCCTCCGCCCGCTTCGCCTGCTCGAGCACCGTCATACGTGTGTCAACCAGAAACCACGTGTCATTGACGTTTCGGCAAGATCGTGGAGATTTCCCATGCTTGGGAGTGACTGGATCGCTAATCACTTTTCATAACTGGCATTAAAATTTTGCTTACTTACGGATTATGTTATTATTTATTCTAATATTCTCAACCAAATGTATTGTTTATACATGTCAGAAATCTTCAAAATAATCTTCTTCCTGACTTGTTTAATCGTATCTGTTCTACAGTGATCAATAATCGACCATTATACCATTATTGTAATAATGTGTTCTCTTGTCTTATTTAAAGGTACTACAATAAAGCCTAAAACACTTTGCCTAAATTAAATTATTTTCGCATGTACTAGTTAGACGCTTTGGATCTGCGAAGGATGGATACGAGGTCACGGGTCGTGCAAAAGGATTTTACGATTGCGTAGATTAGTTGTTAGTCGCTATTGGTTAGATGTTAAAATTACACGTGGTTCGGTTAGGGAATACAGTAACGTGTTATTCCATTCGTAAGTCTGAATTTCTATCATTTCCAATTAGATAAATACTTAATTACAGTGATAATGGAGGTGTGTATGAGGGAGCACGGTGGGCATCCAATAACAGGCAGACAATATCCAGTAACAGGCAAATATTGACCTTGCCCGCGCCAATGCCACTGGTTCATTTACATTCAAGCGTTTCCAGAGGGTAATGGCATTCGGAAAGCAAAGATTCAATGAAGTGTATCCATGAACGAGTCAGTTTCAAAATGTTCTATTTAATCCATCATTTTAGTTCCCTTGTTGGACTATTACTTCACAATGCTTACATCAAACTAAATTATATTTGACCCTACTAGAACTGTTCTGAAGATTCTTATGTGTCTTTAAAAAAAGTTGTTTTTTTTGTTTTGTTTTTTTAATGAGAGGGCAATTGGAATGATAACTTACTTGTTCCCTTGGAGAAGACCATCATTAATTAACTTTGTATTAGAAAAATAAAACATGCCATTTTCTACTAATTCGCCTGCCCAGTCTTGTCTTCTTGGTCTTTTGTAGGGAGAGAAATTGATAGCGGCTGCTGTCCCATCTAGAAAATATTTTATTCAATAATAATTAGAAGACATTAAAATGTTTTTATTAATTAATAATTTACTCTAAACATTTTACTTCAAAAAATTATAAAGCTAATTATTTAAGCTCTTAGTAAAGATGTTTCCATATTCTTACATTCCCAAAATTCCACCAATGAAAACCCTTAATTAATTCAATTGAAAATAGTACAAATATAATATGAATTAGGAAGTTCAGTCACAGTAAATATGCTGCAATATTACTCCCTGTGACTTGGTTTAGAAAAAGGGTTAACATTAGATAATTTCTGAAAGGTCTGTGATAAATTTGAATATGAAATATTATTTTAGTATTCAGTGATTCTAACTTGGATTTAAACTGAGTAAATTTTTTTTAAATATTTACCTTCATTAACTCTCCATCTTAATTCATGCTTCCTTGTCACAGCAAACGCTGAGTCATATTTTCCTTTTAACATTAAATTTAGGCCATCAGACAAAAATGTTGTGGTTAAAAAAGGCGAAGTGCATTGAACAAGTCCGATGATATCTGCTTCTAAAATTTAAAACATACTGTAATAAGTGCAAGTCTCAAATATTATTTGTAACATGTTCTTAAATAAACAGAGTGGAATTTAAACATTTTCCTTTATTATTACAATATTATTATCAGTGCCACATCATAAGTGCAATAATTTTTAGATATTCAATATAATACTTTCTTCTATTGTAAGAATTGAATATTTCTGTAGAACAGAAGTCATAGAGAAACAGTATTATCTGATCAAAGGAAAGTAAAATTGCTTTTAATTACTTCTAGTAATCTATTTTAATTGATTTCTTCATGATATTAAATAAGGTAAAGGAAAGAATTATTTATCGTCCTTGTCATTTCCTCTCTTGTTGGTTTCAAAAATGAGGCAGTTGAATCTCTCAACTATCAGTGTTTGTCCCACAAAATAGTTCAATGAGTTCAATATGTCTAATAGATTTGGTGCGCAGTATCTGGGTTGTCTGGTCATCTGGAGGTGTCAAGTTCAAGGCTACATAGTTTCAAGGCATTCAAAGGATGTGACCTGCTGTCTCAGACAAAGCTGAACAACAACAACAAAAACACCAACATGACAGTCACCAGACAGCTTGTTGGACAGGTGTGTAGCGCGGTACCTTCATTTGTGACGTGATCCAGTAATTAGATTTTGTTATTTAAGCCAACTGCGCATCTCATTAAGGGCAAGGGCCTCCTGATTGCACAGGGAATTATTAATCCTTCTTTAATGAAGTGATAGGATGATGAAGGGTGTAAGAATGATCACAAATACGTCCATGCCCAAGGCGGGATTCAAACCCGCAATCCTTCGATCTGAGATCGCCACGACACTACTGCCTTAGTGATTTCAGCTATCCGGATCGACTTTAATTTGTTACTGATCACCAAATAACTACTTACAAAATGAAAAAAGTCACTCTTATTGCATTTTTTTTAATATTGAGAAAATCAGAAAATCATAAGAATATAGAACAATAGTCTACTTATAAAGTTGACACTCAGAGATCTGGTGCCCAATAAACGTGAATTAGCAGATTAACAGTAAGTGAATGAATGCTTCCAAAATGGGGACCTGTTTTCTGAATTATTTGGGTCACACCATGTTCAGGGCAGTGTTGCCTCCAATTTGGTCATCATACATAATATTAAATAGGATTCATTGTCTTGAATGAAGGCCATCTGAACAGATAAAAAAGGAAATATTTTTACGTTAGTTTCCTGGATAGGGGTATGTTACCTGGATGTTTGTATAAAAAATCTTGTACACCCAGAATTGATGGAGCTGTGTCAGTTGCACTTTCTTTAGAGCGCCAGTGTACTTGAGCACCATGCATCTCAGCTTCTGCAGCTATATCAGCTGCATCAGTGGAAATCCAAACAGATGAAAAGCCTGTGAAAAATTATGTGCATAGTAAACTAAAAAAAAATAACAATCATTTTTCTACGAGTTATAAGTGAGTCAAATACTGGATAATATAAATCTACTTATGAGAATTATTTAATATAAATCTTCAATGTTTTCAGACGTTTCATGAGAAGTATTTTTTAAAAGATTTGAATGCTTACGGCCAAAATTCTTGAGAATTTTAATTGATCTTCCAATAAGTGTAATATTACCAAGTTTTGCTAAGTTCTTCTTTTTTATTCCTTTACTTCCTCCACGTGCAAGTATTAAACCAATCACATTAGTGTTTTTCTTTAGATGAGGCAGTTCTGAGGAAATTTTTTGCCTGAAAGATGTACATATTTTTGCCATGAGTTAATGTAATGATTGAACATTATTTTAACTTATGAAAGGCTCTGTAGATATTTATCTCGTTCCAGACAACTGGTCTAAAATAAAACAGATAGTGGGGTGCAAATAAATGAAAAGTGAATGTTCTAGATGAGAAAGCATTCCTAACCGCCAACCTTGAATGGAAATCAAAAAGTACTAAAATTGATGATTTTGTATGAATATTCATCCCATACTAACAGAGGCAAGTTAAACAACAATTTAGTGGAGCCTCTCCACATCCATGGAGATTACAGACTTATTGAGAGAACTAACTCATGAAATTATATTCTTTGAAAGAAAGCCTATTCATTATTGACAAACAGACAAAACTTTTACCTATCTTTCAAAAATATTTATGTGTCAAATTAATATTGTATAAATACGAATAACATTTGTGTGAGCCAAACAGAAATTCCTATCTCTAGATTATTCTTTACATTGAAAAATCCATTATCTTTAATACAAATATTGTAATGAATTATAAGTGAAAATTTTAGTAATGACAATATACTATGAAATTCAAATAGTCTGCATTGAAATGTTAAAAAGAAGTTAATAAAATTTTAAAAATAATATTAAAAGTGTGTTATTTGGTTTAAATAATGATATAAACATTATATTTCTTAGGTTTGTTTCTTACCCAGTGTGTTGGTTGGATAAAAGTTTGCGACACCCAGTAGCATAATCGCATATCCACACGTATTTTATGAGAGAACAAAATACTATTGCTAAAGTTGCAGCAATTACAACGCGGAAAACATTTCTATACTTTGACATTTAAATGAAAAAGAAAATGGTACGTAGGAGATAAAACTGATCCTTTCGTGGTCCGGATGCGCCTTTGACTCAGTTCGCATGCGCGGGGCACAAACGTGTCGTGTTTGATTGGCTCATGGGAAGCTATCGATTTTGTGGACATGAAGTTACATATGTGTCTGTCCTCATGAATATTTTTAATGCGTGAAAGAATAACGTTTGCAGAAATCGAACTTTCGTGTAAAAAAGGTCATATTTTAATGCAAAATATACGAACAATGAAATAATAGCTACATGTGCACGTAAAATAAATTAATTTTCCTCTTTCTTTTAAGTGTTGCAATCGATTCATCGGTTATCGGCTCTTAGTCGATGAAATGAGAACAAGTGACTGCCGTTGATATTTTAATTTTAAACAATAACAGGGGAGGGAATGGTGACATATGATGAGAAATGTATTTTTTTAAATTGCCATCTTATCTGTAATCTTTTGAGAGAGAGAATCGAATAAATTTAAAAGAATAATACTTATCTAACTTTTAATCACATAAATTTTGTATTTTTTTGATTTAGAATCGTTAGCTGACATGATTTCAATGTCACAGGGAACGGATTCTCTCGCGCAGGACCGGAAACGGGCTTTCAGAAGTGCAGGTAATGGAGAGATCGCACAATTGATGTACCCGACCGCGTCGCTGGTGTCGACGCGAGATCTACCTGGCATCGATGCAGCTGACTTTGGAGCCTCAACTTCTCACTTTGCTTGCCGCCTTGCGGACCTCAGCCTCGTCAGCGCCAATGACAATTCACTATGGGCAGCCGAAGCTGTGTCGTTGTTGCAACACCTGTTGTGCGACGAAAATTCACAGGTGCGCTGACAGCGGAAGCATTTTCGATAAAATATTGATATGTTCTATATACTTACACGCGCGATTGCCGGTACATAAGTTAAGATTGAAAACCACGAAAACAAAAAGCGCTCCAATAATTATACAATATTTGTCACATTTTCCTTTCTCATATTTGAGACATCAATCTATGGCATTTCATAGCCAATTGCATTCAAAACTCCATTTTAAAAATGACATAAGTTTAAAAGAACAAGGTTGCGGTAGCATTAGAGCGAAATATTAATATGTCCGATAAAAAATAGAATAATATTATATTATTTCGCCTGAAATTCTGAATGTTTGAGGGTAATTTAATCGAGATCGTGAAAGCTATTTGCTTATGACTCCGGCTTATAGCTTGCGACCCATCGCGATGACGGTTCGAATCTTGTAGTTAGCTGCGTTGCTAAGCTGGTGGGGCTAAGAAGGGGGGCAAGTTCTCTCTAGCAATATTTACAAATACATTCAGTCATTCTAATTTCATTTTTACTTTCTCAACCTTACTTCGCAAGAACAGAAATTATTGTAACTGTGCAGGAAAATGGCGAGTTTTTGATTGAAAAACGCCCTTTGCCGGACGCTGGTAACAAAAAAGTGGATAAATCTTCTTCATATAGCATAAAGACTGGTCCATATAAAATTGGTTTCGGGAAAATCTCGAAAAGTGTCGATTGAATCAAGAAAAATGGGTAATGAAAATTCTTCGTATCGACTTGAACAATCTAATGATATCAAACTCGACCCCCCACCCTCTCACTCAGGGGTGGGGATGGGGAAAAATGGGAACACCTATTTTTTATTGGAGATTCGGATTCTTCGGGGGAAAATACAAATATAACTTATGTACTAAACGTTTTTTTCGTTTCGGTTAGATGGTCCCGTAATAGACAAAAATCAAAATAAGCAAAACGTTACACTAGTGATATCACAGAATGGCACAGACTTTCTTGTAGTAAAGTTTTCTAATTTTCATGGTGTGGGCTAGCTTTAATGTCTTGTCACATTCTCTTGACTGCTGCCGTCCAAAATACATTTTTTTTTTAAGTTTTCTCAATTTTTCGAATTCCAAATGGAATATTCGACATATTAAAATAAAAAATATCAAAGAAGAGTAAAACTTCGTCCTACATGGAAATTTCGTTGAAAAATTTGGAGCTTTTTTTTAAGAAAAAAAATTGCTTAAGCTCTAATGTAAATACGAAAGGGTACCCGCGGATAAGATGGTAAAAAGTTCCCCCCTGACATTTTAGTAGCTACACTATAACCCTAACATAAAAACTAGTGGTACTACAGAATGACACAGACTTTCCCGTATTAGTTTTCTATTTCCCTTAGTCTCTCTAGTAGTAGTATCTCTAGTACAGAGGTTCCGTCATAGACAATTTTACTATATTATCACAGGTAATACCGCGAGAACGTTTTAAATTATTGATAAATCACGACAAGCGAAGCAAAGAGGGATTTTATCTAAAAATTTCCAAAGCACGGGTAGTATTTAACAGGACTATTCCTTAAATGAAATTATGTCTAAAATGCACCAAATATTGAAAATAACTGAAAGCTTTGTTAAAATCAAAGCAGTCATGTTATAGTACATATGCGGTTTATTGGTTATCGATATATCGATCGATGTATAGCGTGTCCTAAGATGAGTCACATTTTATGATTGGCCAGAAGGAAGAAGTGGTAAGAAAAATCCGATTAAACAAACGATAAACTTTTTGGATTCACCGCCCTCATTGGGCATTTTGTATTTGTACTTACTTAAACACTATTAGTTTTAATTTCACGAGTGGAATGGTTCGAATAATATTTCTATCTACTTGACAGCAAGCGGCTGACAGAGGAGAGGGGCTCCCTTTATCCAATCACAGGCAGATGAAGATATCACTGCAGAATTGCCGATGTATTTTGAAAAATAATGAATCTTATAGCGCGAAGTTACCAAAAATTAAAAAGCGCCTTTACTTGTTCTGTTATGGATTTTTCTTTTAAAACGCATTCGTATTTTATGCATTTTCCTTTTAAAAACGCGTAAACGTGCTGTACTTACTTTTCATTTGCTTTGCGCGTGTTGTGGAAAAAGTTTTGTGATTCCTTTCATTGGCGGTATTAATGAAAGGGACTCCGGTAAAGTACTTTATGAAATAATCAAGGGTCATTATTACAATTCGTTGTTCCACTATTAACACGTTAAATGGGACGCGCAGGCCTCCATCCTGATGTGATGGAAGAACGACCACACGACCACGTATCTGCCGCCCAAGCAAGTGGCAAAACTTCGCTCTACCCCACCCTCAGCTGTCAAGAGTCCAGCTTTTAAGTCAGAAATATTATTCGGACAAATACTTAAAGTTTGCAATCAAGAGTAGAAAACATCAAGATAGATGTTTTAGCACCACAAGAGATAATACTTCGAACACTGGTTAAAGTGGCAGAATCTTCGAAACTGTGTAAATAATCGTACTAAAAAATAAGTTATATACGTTCAATAAATGAACTTCGATACAGTTGTATTCCAAAATAACAATCTTTCCTACACTGCCTGCTCTACCTGATCAGTCTACCTATCTACACTACTTAACCACTACAAAACGGTAATACAAAATTAACAACTCTAAAAGGATGATTGGTTCTTTTTCCTCTTTCAGCTTTTTCAAATACGAATTCCAAAGAGAGATCGTAAAAGTATCTTGATACTTGGGCGAGTTATTCCTTGTACACACGAGAAAAATCAAATGGAATGCAATTACGCTAGGCCTTGGGCGCGCCAATAGACGCACGCAACAACAGGTTTCATAGAGTATCACTTCCATTTATGCACTCCCACTATCATTTATGCAATTTTCTCAATTCTGTTCTAAAATCGGTTGTCAGTGTCAAAACAACAATATTGCATTCGTAACAGTTTTGAATTAACTCGTGAAACCTTAAATTTACCTGTTCCTTCTAATCATTAAATCATATATCTGGATGTTATTTATGTATTCCCAAATATTTCCCATTCTCATTATATTTGATTTAGAATTTTATCTCCCAAAAATTTGATCATTTGGCCTGATGAATTTATAGTAAAGGTTACATGCGTTCATTCTCACTTAGAATTTAAATTTAATGTAATTATTTATCATCAGGTAACAGGTATAACTTACGGTGGTTCTCTGAGTTCCTTTTTTGCAGAGGTTGCCATGTGAAGATAAGTGGATAAATCCATTTGCTAAATTAAAAAAATCCTCTAGCACGTGAGGTAGCCAGACTCCATGTTTTGTGGGTCCTTTATGACGAAAAATCGAACGACGGCAAAGCTGTCCGTTCGTCTGTGAACAACGCTAGCGGTTATACCGTTCAGTCGACTTTTTCCAAAATTGATATTGTATTCTCCAATCAATCTGGCTGATGTTGTGGCCCCTTGATTTTGAAATCAATATTTTAATTTCGGGGGGGGGGGTACTTTACATGAAGCCCTTTGGATATTTTCAAAATTTTTGATAAAATGGTTCCAACGTTTTTGATTTAACTTTATTGGATAGCGTGAAGGACTATGAGAGAATGAGAGTCACATGTTACCACGTATTAGAGGATTTGTTTTCGCAAGTCTCATGCTCGTTAAAAACCCTGATTTTTCGAAAATTTTAAACGTTCAATTTTTTTCGGCGTCTTCCTTACGTACCTACAGTTATGTAGATAAACATATTTTCTTAATGAAATGTGTTTAGGAAAAAAATTTATAAATAATGTCATGTTCAGTTTTTTTTAAATATGAGTATTTTTGCGAAATTATGTCTAATATAGACATTTTCTTTAAACAGTTTTTTTTAAAGACACAACATTTTTAAATGAAATTTATACCTTAGACGGCGTAAAAGACGCTTAAGAGAACGGCGCAGGTCCCATGTTCGTTGAAATTGAAATTTTATCAAATTGGCTGCAATTTTTTAAACTTTTCTAACAGAGAGTGCTAATTGTGCAGTTCAATATGACATAAAGTTCCTTATGCTGTATTCTTTTTGCACTGTACTGTTTTTTTTTTCTTTTCAAAAAATTACACAAAAGTATTTTTTGAATATCTCTCACGCCTTTAATATGCACATTTCCAGCGATTTGTAAACACTATTGCATATCTGATTGGAAGTTCTTGAAATTACTTCAAATGAAGTTTTACGAAAACTTTATAGTTTTCTGCGAAAAGAGCCTCAAATTTCGCATTCACGGTAACGCTTTAACACTATTTCCTTAAAAACGGCTGTAAATGTTTCAGTGAGAAGCGGGAAATAAGACGAGGTTTTATTCTTCTTTAATATTCTTATAGTAATAATTCGGTCAGGTTCCGTCTTGGCCAGCTTTCACTGTCCGTTGCTTGGTACTTGGCTGCGGGCGCAGGCGCGGGAGGCGGCGGCGCTGGCGCTGGGGCGGCTGGTGGGGCGCAGCGAGCGCTGGGCGCTGGCGGCGGCGCGCGCCGGGGCGCTGCACGCCGCGTGCGACGCCTTCGACGCTGCGCGGGGAGCCGGGGCGGCGCGCGGCGGTGGCGTGCGCGCGCGGTGCGTCGCGAGGCTGCTGGCGTGCTGGCCGCCGACCGCCGCCCACTCGCCGCGAACGCGCGCCGGCGCGGCCGGCCGTGGCGGCGGCGGCGTGCGCCGCGCGCTGCGCGTGTTGGCCGACGACGACCGCGTGGCCCGGCCGCGCGCGCCTCGCCACCGGCCCTCGCCGCCCGCGCGCGCGGCCCCGCGCAGCACCTGCTCGCCGCCGGCGCGCTGCCGGCGCTGCTCGCGCTGCTGGCGCACGGCGACCCCCAGGTGCGCCAGTGGCTTATGCTAGTGCTTCGCTATTGCAAAGCATCATACGCGTTTCTAGTCACGTTTACGCTACGCTCCGCAAAACGTATGAAACTATAATATTCACCATTATTCTAGTTTTCAAGAACTTAAAGTGTATGTAGATGAACGATTAAATCGTACAATAAAAGAAACAATGTGGAAACAGTTTGATATTCAAGGTAATTGTAAATGGTTGAATAAACTTCCAAAAGCAACTACGTAAGGTCTCACTTCCACGAAATCTTCTATTTTCCCTCGCGTCTCCCTCAACTACAACTAACAAGTTCCATTTACAATTATATGTACAATCTAGTGTAAAGAAATGAAAATAACTAAAAGTAACACTTGGGCGCATGAAAAACGTTTCTTCACTGGATGGGGTAGAGAGGTCTTCAATGAAAAGTACATAGTTTATTTAATGAGATGTTCACTACACTGGGTCCTGCTGGCGCCCTACTGATATTGGGGGGGGGGGGGGGGCCGTTGGTGGCGCTTAGTCTGGTGCGTGCAACCGGTTGGTGCTCGCGCGGCGCCAGATGGACTCTCGCCGTGTGCGTGTTGTATCATGCCCCGCTGCCGGAGATCGCTTCTGCTCCTATTTTCTCTGAAAGACGTCCTCACAAGCTAGGCTCGTTCTATGACCTGGTTTGGACGTGATTGCCACGTATGCTATTGTTAATATGTTCTCCCTCAATGTTGGGCATGCTTTGTTATGACACTATCTTGGAGAAATTTCATTTACTTGTCCCAGATTCAAGTAGTAATTCCGGCTGATATTTCACAATTACAGAGGCACAATACTTGTAGGCAGAGAAGACATGCTTAATCCTTGATTGTATGGCGGGTTGCCTAAAGTGAAGGGCGCGTGAGTAGTCATAAACGAATAAATAATCATAAAGACCCCATACGTCCAATTTAATTCTTTAAACACTTCCATTACTAATAAGAACAAAGTGTGAAAATTTCAGCGAAATCGTTCGAGTAGTTTTTACGTGTATATACGACTCATACACGCACATTCCATTTTAGTCATATATACGTAGATATAGATTTTATAATTTTTTTTTACTGTGTTTGTGTCGGAGGGGGGGGGGACTTTTGACCACTCGCGTCTATGATTCATCTCCTCGGCGATGGATTTTTGACGCTAGATACGTAGGTAGATCCAATTCAGTCGGAGTCTGGAGGCGATTTCAATATTGCCGGCTGCTTTGATCAGTAGTTTCCCGTGGTTTCTCCGATAAATGCCAAGCAAATGCCGGAGCAATAAATACCCTCACAAATGGGCCGTGGACCGCGCGCGATCTTTCCTCCCTCACACTCAGACATGCCTTACTCTAAGTAATATATCGGGAGGCTAGTCCCGAGCCTAGAGCTTGTCCTGGGTGGGGCGGTGTTCCGGTGGCGGAGACACCCGGAAGAGAAAACGTCCCCACGAGCCGACGAGTAGGTCGGCACCGGATCTCGCGTTCCGGCAGTGCAGGAATAGCACCACCTTCCGAGATGTAACGTTAATTACACTTACGGGACTAAAGACCAATTAATTATTTTTAGAGGATAGCGCCTCCACCTCTACTCCTTCGCGTCGTAGAATTCAAATCTTCAGTAGGTGAAGACAAACAATAGCTGGTTTGCTATTTAATTAATTTGGTTTCAAATCCTGTAATTACTACTACACAATTAATCGACAAATACATACAATTTTGACTTACTCAACAATTTTACCATCTTGAATATTCCTTCTAGATCCACATGACTTAATATTTCTTTCATTAAATATTTTGAAAAATATTAAAATTGGAAGTAGAATATTTAGCAACATAATACCGATTCTCCTAATGTAAATTTGTGTTTGAAAAACTGTCGGAGATTGAAGCGAATGTTACAATCCTGCTGTATACGATAACACTTAAATCACCAAAGATATGTTTCAAGAGTGATAAACTAAAGTGTTTTAACAGGTCGTATACCACCAATAGGAAACACTAAGGGGGTAAGGAGTGCAGGGGGACCGTTCCCCCTGAACATTTTGAAAGAGTCACCGTAGCCTTATGTAATTCAAATATTATATTCTCATAAATATGTCCAATCTCATATTTTAAAAAAAGCGTATAGATCATATAGATCCATTGTTGAAGTTACAGTTATGATGTCAAACGGATGAACTCGTTTGTCTATCCAAATATTTTTGCCATATGTATTCGAGTATAGTGTGTATGTTCTTTTGTATAGAGGGAGCTATAATTTCATCCTCTTGAAGTAATTTTTATTTATTTACAAGAAAAATATGCTATTTGGATAAAAACTAGAGAAGGGGGTCCGGAAATTTAGTTGGTCCTCTTTTCTTTTAGGTTGCGTCTGCCTGAGCATAAAGATTAAGGTAATTCGAATAAATAACTGCCATTCTGAGGGGTGGTTACATCATAGTGGCCGTTCATTTCAAGTGTTGCACTGCAATTTGAAACTACTGTGAACTTCAAAGTAGGTATCGACTCCTCTGCCTAGTCATTATCACGTGGTTAGTACATATCACTGACGCTTCTGCGATTACAGTTATATCGGAGTCTTCCTTATTTTCCTCGAAGAATGCTTCTTTGACCTTATGGGCTCATATCTATCAGAACTACTCTACATAAAAAAAACTTTATGATATCATTCAAGGAGGTGTTTTCATACGTAGGAATTGTGGGGGGGGCTTGTAATTAGTGATGCGGTAGATTATTTGCAACACTTGATATAGTAATAAGATAGCCTGATTTTATCATTGAGTATTTGCATTGCCATCACTATTAAAAATTTGAGCCGATTCAAATTTAGATAAGGTATGTGTTTGTAATAAATCTACAAAAAGAAAATGTATTATGAGGATTTTTTATTGCATTTACATATTTAAATCACAGTAACTACACTAGTTTAATTGACAATAAAAATACTCAATATCTTAATTACAACAGCAACTAAAGTTATTAACTTCTAGCCAATGGCGAGTATTGGTTCTTCAATGAATTGAATTTCTTACATTGAAGAAACCTGACATACACTCAGCTCTGAAAACCGGAAAGATTGTGATGTAACAGGAAAAACGATGGAAGAAATAACCGGCTTTTAACTCTTGATTACCAGAAACCGTGCTATTATTCACGCAGGAAGTATTATTATTTCCGCAAGGATAATTTCACTTTCCAACTTCCTCCAACAAACCTGCAAAAACAGTAAATGCATTATTTCAAGGACCACGAGCTGATAATTTCATAAAATGTTGAGTTACCAGGAAATGTCTTCAGAATATGGAATATTTGTACCTCTCAGGATAATCTGTTGTCATCATTCAGTGAAATATGAGCTCGATCTACTGGGGAGGTTTTATACTGAAATGAGACTCATGGACATGGGCAAAATTACAAAATTAAAAATTAATTTCTTTTCGAAGTAATTAATATTTTTATCAGTATGTTCTATTATACACAAGCTGAGCCCATAGTTTTTCATCACAAAAAAAAGCTGAACAGCTAAGTATTTTATATGCCCAATAAAGATAACGAAAAACTCAATAATATTCTTTGTCGTCCAATAGGTATTCTGCAAGAATACTAAAATAGGAGGTATAAAAATCCTGTAACAATATTATCACTGCATTGTAGGCTTTCACGGCCGGAGTCAATATTCTTCATGCCTTTCGGGCTGATGGGCCGTGGTCCAATTGGCTTTGAGATGCCAAACGTTTCGCCCGCGACTGCGGTGGGCATCTTCGGTGGCGAGGTGTCGGGCGAAGTGTCCGGGCCGGTGGCTGACTGGCGATTGAGCCTACTAATTAGCCTGGCGACTAATATTATCACTATTTACTGTTAAGACAAAGTTATAAATAACTCTGAAAATGTAATTGAAATGTTTTATATTTACTAATATCTATACACGTGTGCGCATAGTTTGACTTTTTCTCGCACTTACTAACGTAAGAAAACGTATTGTAATCGTGCGCCGGACAACGGCAAATTTTCGACACAAAAAGTAGGGAAAGAGTAAATAAATTCAGTTGCTAATATAGAAAAAAATTCCTCTAACGCGTGTTGTAACCAGAATCGATGTTTTGTGGGTCCTTGATACCGAAAAATCGATTGATGGCAAAACGTCTGACTGTCCGTCTGTGCACAACGCTAGAACAAAAAACCGTTCTGCCGATTCTTTCCAAAACTGATATTCCCCAATCGTACTAGCTGATGTCGCGGCATTTGGAATTTGATACCGGTATTTTAATTTTGGGGGTTATTTTACATGAAGACCCTCAGAAATATTCAAAATTTTCTAAAATATTTAGAGCTATTTCAGGCTTCAGACAAAGTCTGTTATACAAAATAAGCTCTTAAAAAAGGCGATGAACAATTTTTTGATAAAACAAGTAGTTTTTGCGTAATTTGTGCTTAAAATTAATGAAATATATACAGGTTTCACACCATCTACGGGCCATGAGAAAAATTGAATGAATGATATGAAAAATAGTTAATTTTTTATTTATAATTTCCTATTGAAAATGCCAATATTACTTCTATTTTACATTTCTCGCTTTTTTACTTTTTACTCCATGTGTATTCTCAATGTATTGATGTATTTTTTTAAAGCAATCAGTAAAGTTTAATAGAAATTTTGCATAATGCCGCATCGATTGAGAAGCACTTGAGTAGCACTTGTTTTGTTTATATCATCTTACTATCTTCCGAGAAACCATGAACGCTCTCTTTGTTGAAATGCAGTAGTGTTAATCGTATCTGAAGTGTGGATGTTAGAAGTCGGTGATGAAATAAAACGCTATCGGAACTGATATCTTACGACGAAGGGCATCTCACGTATGATCAGCCAGAATGTTCGTAATTATTTTGATGTCAATTGCATATATTGTAATTACTGTATTGATATTATTAGCCAAGCGAATGCACATAGTTTTGGAAAAGCTGCTCTGGCGACATTGCGTTGTCACTTCGTGGTTGAATTGGACGTTTTGAAATTTTGGCTGAGGTGTTAGTTGCGCAGAAAATACAATATTTCAATATTACTTAGCTGTTTCTATTAACGCGAGAAAGTATGTGCTGTTGTAGCACCACTAGTTCGAGTTTTGAGAAATTATGATGTCATTGACACAATTGTACTGAAGGTTATTTAAATTTATAAAACACTAGCTGAAGTAATCTGGATTTGCCTTGGTATTTATTTATCAGTTATCACAATCACCCAATAGGAAAATAAGTCAATTCTATTGAGCCCTATAGTGTTCAATGGGAGTGATTTTATTTACATCTTCCTCACGCTCTGCCCTGCTTCTCTTCGCTCCGCCCTCCATATTACGTCCCGCCCGCTGTTGTATTGCCCCTACCCCACTCATCTCTGCCTCCGCCATCCCGTCCCGCCGTGCCACTGCATCGCCCACCCTGCGAGTAGTTCTTAACACGCAGATGAAGAAAAATGATAAATAGGCCAAGTGTGTAATACTTTGTGTCAATGTGGGTGCTGGTACCAATCGTTGTATGTATTTAGTATGCAGGTAGTGTGATGGGCTAAAGAAAAAAATCACTCATTACGTATGGCCAATGGTAGTACTCCCTTCTCCCGCATATTTCCAAATCGACGTATGTTCGGGCATTCGGCCACTGCGATTAATATAATCATACTTGAGGGCAGCTAGGTAAAAGTTTCCACGCATTTTGTAACCTTGCATATATATTGAGTTATTTCACTCGCAGAACTACTACTAAAGTATTTAGAATATTCCTCACGTACTCCATCCATCCAATTATGGTTTAGTTGTTTAAAAAATCCCATGAATATGAGAAATGAAGAACTGTAGAAGAAAGCCGGAGAAATGCCTATAGAACTCCACTTTAGAAAAAGGAAATGGACATAGGACACGCATTGAGGAAACTTATTGGAGCAATAGAAAGGCAAGCATTAGAATGGAACCCGCAGGAACAACGAGTTGTAGGAAGACGAATTGGCATATGGAGAAGAACTGAATTCAATTCAATTGTTGTCTTATTTTACGTTGCGAGACTGAGACCATGAGCCCAGCTCTTCCGTCTGACCACGCAAATATGCTTCGCTTCTTTCACCAGCTAGTGGAGGAAGGAGGTACTTCTAGGGCGACGAAACAAGTAATTTGAATTTAGCTCAGAGTCTTTATTTAGGTAAATGAATAAATATATACATGTGTATATGGTTCAATTAATCTTAAGGATCCTTTGCATGTATTAAATCTACTAACATGGGACAGCCGGCTTAACTTCCCCTCCGAAGGAAGGCGAACGAAGGATTCTTTCGCCCTAAAAATCCACTGCTTCGATCGGGTTTGAACCCGCGAACTTGGGTATAACAGTCCTATACGCTAACCGTTACACAATAGCCGCCGGAGAAGCCGCTCTACAAGGAGCTGAACAAGGCTGGAAAGTCGTGGAAGGAAATCAAAAGAGTAGCGGCAGCAAAGAATGATCCTGCTGTCTGCCCTGTTTACTTGCGCGGCCCGCAGCGCTGTTCCGCAATACCTAGATGCGTTGCGGTTTGCAGTACTCTTAAGCTAGTAAAAAATTATAATAGTCGGAATTTCGAGATCAAAGTACCATATTAAAATATTCCAAGTTAAGATGTACCAATATAACAAAATGTCACGAAAATAGGATTATGCATTAAAATGTTCTCCTTGACACACAAACACTCATTTTATAGTATTTTAATAGCAGTATTTTCAGACAATATTTGGAAATATTAAAATATATATTTAAAGCCCTAAGTATTTTCGTTTAGAAAAAAATTGGAACTTTCCACTCAAACAAAGTTTTTGGATTTTGGTTTAAGTGGAAGTTAGTTGGCCTCAGATATATTATTGCGTACTATTATTAAGAGGTTTTATAGTAAAATTATTAAATTTGAATAGTTTGTACTCTCATCTACCGCAATTTGTTCCTTAGATTTTTAGTTGTGTCAAAACCTTAATCAACAAGGTCTTGGTACAGCGCGAGAACGCACGCACGCGCGAGTGTGTGTGTGTGTGTGTGTGTGTGTGTGTGAGTGAGAGAGAGAGATAGGGGGGGGAGGAGAGAGAGGTTATAGTTAGCGGAGCAAACATGCGAGGATTTTAAGTTGGAAGATCGTGTGTTTTTAAAGCAAAGATTAATGAGTGTGTGTCTATCTATATAAACGCAATTCCCAAGAATTGTTTGGTACGCGCCCCTTTACAAAGAGTCAGTATTATCATTAAATGTGATATTTGTTTAAGTCAAGTAGCAGGATTTCCTGCCATAGCCCACACCAACACACATACGTACATATCTCGGTAAATATAAAACATTTAAATGACAGTTTCATAAACATGTTTAAATCTGTGATCAGTGAATAATGATTGATTTGTTACAGAATTAGTAAGTCTGTCTCAATTAGCGTTGCGCAATATTGCACCTTGCCGAACATAAGACGGTGGTAATACTTGTAACTAGCAGAAAGAAGAGAGAATACATCACTCTCAAAGTCGGTTATCACAAAATTTCATCAAGAACTGCTATACAATACCTCAGCATCATTATTGACACGCACTTGTCCTTCAGAGACCTCTTGAACTACGCCAGGAAGAAAGCGGCGATAGTGAATGCTGCGTTGACTAGGATAATGCCGAATACTGAAGGCCTAGTCATGAAAAGTGAAAGCTGCTTTCCTTGGTCGTCATATTGGTTCTGCTCTACTGTTCAACAGTTTGGGCCAACTACAGATAGAAGAGCTACGTAAGAGGCATGTCTTCAATATATCGGTTATCACGCCAAGGGTTGCATGTGCGTTCCACACTGTATCAAATGAAGCAGTTTGCATCACAGCCGGGATGATCCCACTAGATATAATGGCCCGTGAACAGCAGAGGCGTTACAACAAATGAGTCGGGAAGCAGAACTGCTTTGAACAACTAGCAGAATAGCAACAGCGATGGGACACTTCCTCCAAGGGATGATGGACGTACCGACGGATTCCTACAGTTGAATAGCCACAGTCGAAAGCACAGCGGGGTAAATTATTACCTCACGTAGCTTGTAACAGGACATGGTTGCTTCAGAGCCTATTTTCACAGGTTTAAACTGGATGATACCCAGCATTGTTCTGTGTGCGAACCTGGTGTTGAGGATGCCGAGCACGTATTTTTTTCAGTGCCCTCAACAACAAGCTGCTGCTGAGATACTTGGTAAAGGCCAGATGACTCCAGAAAACGTAGTTGCATGTATGCTTGTTTTTGAAAGCAATTGGAGGTCGGTGTGTAAATTTGCACAAGACGTTTTACGACACATAAAGAAAGCGACACATAAAGAAAGGAAGGATGAATATATCTGATCCTTCACTTGACTAACTTGATGTGACTGGGTCACTATTCCACTCTCCACGATGTAATGTCTGTAGGCAGTTCCGCGAAGAGATTGGGGGAGTTCTGTTTTAGTGAGTAAAAATCTCACACGGTGGGTAGTATGGGATATTCAGTGCCTTTTTCCACCTTCCCTTCTCATCATTTTGAGTCGTTGTGTTCCATTTTAGAGATAAAGCAAAGAATCTGAATGCCATCCTCCTTTATTGCAGAAACTGCATAATGTTATTGAGGAAGAATAATGCAGTTATCCACTTGGAACTTCAACATTTTTATAAATCCTTTCCAAGAGGAATTAAAGCTATATTAAAGACAAAAGGTGGCATATCACTCAACTAATAAAAGAAATATGTAACATCTTTGCCAGACTATATTTTCTCTTCATTTTATAGAAAGAAAATTGTATTTTGGATAGAATTTTTGGATCAAAATAATCAAATGTGTTTGCATTATACTAAAATTTGTAATACGTAAATAGCATCGTTTCGAAAATGATTATTTCCGTCTTCAGGCAGGAATTAAAATGTCAAAACAAATAAATACAATATTTTAAACAATGGGCTAGATTAAATCATAAGAAATACATAACAATAGTGTACACAAGTCACTATACGGAATGCTTCTTGATAAAAATCTTTTCAAGCTCCCAATTAGAAAAGTACGGTATCACATGGCGGTATGTCGTTGAAATAAAAAAATTCTGACAAAGTTGTTAATCTCTAGACAGAAAAGAATACAATGATTAAATATGTAACATGTTGAAGAGCTTTCATTGCTTTGCCCTCCATCTGTACGTTTCTATTAAGAAATTTTAAATGTATGGTAACAATAAATATTTTATGCTTTTTGAAAGTTTGTTAAAAATTGGCACAAAAAATGATGTAGCGCTTTCGTTCACTGGGAATGTGAGCGCCAAAATTCTGTAAAAGAAATAGTGTTATTCGCATTTGTGTATATAGACTCTTTGAGTAGTGCCTCTAAACCTCATACTCTTACGAACGAGTAAAAGGCTTATCCGAAAACACCATGCATTGTAATTTTACAGTCTCGACGAAGCGGACAAGATATATGACCAGGAAAATTACAAAACCAGCATATTATTGTTCGAGTATATAATTACGTAGATAACCCACTTATCATTGCATGACTGACAAGAACCAACAGGATATTGTTGTTCATGTTTTTATCTGAAGTAGAGAATTTTCAAGCTATATCGCACCGTGAGTTAGTGGTGAACAAAACGCGTTCTACCAGGTTTTCGTGTCTAATAGGTATTAATGATTTCACTGGTACAATAAGTAGTAAGGCATAAAGAAGTACCAGGGGCAACCCCCCCCTGCAAGACAAGCTCCCCACCCCGTCTCCCGACATGTGTAATAGTGTAGTGCATGTAAGTGTGTGTGTGTGTAAGACTAGAAAGAGGATGGAAGGGTGGCGGGCGGTCCGTGGGTCGTTTCTTAGGGTACATCTCCTGCGTGCGTCTAATATTGATAGGAAAATCCACGGAAAACTATCGATCAGAGCAGCCGACCGCTAAATTCTTCTCCAGACTGCACTCTGCAGCGTCTGAATTCGATTATGTGTGGTGTGTTTGTGATTCGAAAATCCACCACCGTCAGGACTCGAACTCTTGTTCAGAGATGCTGCAGAAACAACGGTAATGTTGATTCTGAGGTAAACCCGCCGGTTTGAGAAATAGTGTAATGCATGTTTAAGGGGAGAAATGTGTGTAGTGTGTGTAAGAGGCCAGAGAGGGACGAGGATGAGGAAGGAAAGATCGCGCGGAGTCCGTGGCTCGTGGCAGATCTGTTAGGAACAACTCCAGCATTTGCCTGGTTTTTATCTGAGAAACCACGGAAAACTATCATTCAGAAGAGCCTGTCGATTTTTCTCTATTTAGCGGCTGAATTCGACCTAGCTATTTCGCAAGGTCGAAAAATTCGCCATCGTTGGGACTCGAACCCTAGGTCCTCCCGGTAAGAGGCACCTACTCAACCGCTCATGTAACAAACTTCGTAGATGTCATTTGTCCGAGTCCTTACAGTTCATCAACTTTTGAAAACAGGTAAATAAGTAACTGAGTAAATGGTGACAAGCCCAGCCTCAATGAGAATTCTGATAGCTGGCTGCTCGTTCGAGGTTTCCTCCTATCACCTTGAGGCACA